CGCGCGCCCGACCCGACCCGCCCGTTAGGGTCCGCCCGCCCGACCCGCCCGATAGGGTCCGCCCGTCCCGTTCCGGCCGTTAGGGTTCTCATGTGTCACGCTGTATACGCATCCGACTTTCGTGTCCCGCCCGCCCGACCCGACCCGCCCGTTAGGGTCCGCCCGCCCGACCCGCCCGATAGGGTCCGCCCGTCCCGTCCCGCCCGTTAGGGTTCTCATGTGTCACGCTGTATGCGCATCCGACTTTAGTGTCCCGCCCGCCCGACCCGACCCGCCCGTTAGGGTCCGCCCGCCCGACCCGCCCGATAGGGTCCGCCCGTCCCGCCCGTCCCGCCCCGCCCGTTAGGGTTCTCATGTGTCTAGCTGTATGCGCATCAGCCTTTAGTGTCCCGCCCGCCCGACCCGACCCGCCCGTTAGGGTCCGCCCGCCCGACCCGCCCGATAGGGTCCGCCCGTTTCGTTTCGGCCGTTAGGGTTCTCATGTGTCACGCTGTATACGCATCCGACTTTAGTGTCCCGCCCGCCCGACCCGACCCGCCCGTTAGGGTCCGCCCGCCCGACCCGCCCGATAGGGTCCGCCCGTCCCGTCCCGCCCGTTAGGGTTCTCATGTGTCACGCTGTATGCGCATCAGACTTTAGTGTCCCGCCCGCCCGACCCGACCCGCCCGTTAGGGTCCGCCCGCCCGACCCGCCGATAGGGTCCGCCCGTCCCGCCCGTCCCGCCCCGCCCGTTAGGGTTCTCATGTGTCTTGCTGTATGCGCATCAGCCTTTAGTGTCCCGCCCGCCCGACCCGACCCGCCCGTTAGGGTCCGCCCGCCCGACCCGCCCGATAGGGTCCGCCCGTCCCGTTCCGGCCGTTAGGGTTCTCATGTGTCACGCTGTATACGCATCCGACTTTAGTGTCCCGCCCGCCCGACCCGACCCGCCCGTTAGGGTCCGCCCGCCCGACCCGCCCGATAGGGTCCGCCCGTCCCGTCCCGCCCGTTAGGGTTCTCATGTGTCACGCT